ATGCTGGTGTCTGACCTAAGCATTCACCTCCCGGTGCTTTGCGGGGTCTGGGATAGGTTTTGGGGGCTCTAATCTCAGCCTGCTGCCTCAGGAAAGGGTCAGTCTGGCCGTGCTTTGAGCACATATCATTGCTCTGACTTGGGAGCAAGCTACCCCAAGCACCATCCAGGCACAGGTTTTCCCCCTCTGGCAAATGAGGGATACAGCAGTTTCGTTTAAAACTGCATTCAAGACCTAAGATTAAACCTCAAGCCACTCTAGGCCCGGCGTTAAGCTGCTTTTGACTGGCTGCGGGGAAGGGTGCGGGTGGCCAGCGGGGCAGGCAGAGCCCGTGAGACACCCCCGTCCCTGCCCCTGCCGAAAATCCTGTGAGGGGATTTCTCCGAAGCTTCAGTAGATTTGGGGCAAGTCGCAGCCGCTCGGTTACGGTTCAGAGCGCGCAGCCCCATCGCTCTCCGGCGGGATGCACCAGCCTGGGGTGGGCACAAGCACCACGTGGGTGCAGTCCCTGCTGGGGCTGCTTTACCCCTTTGAGGGGCAACAAAAATAAAACTAATCCTCGCTTCTGAATACGTGCTTTTCTTCCAGCAGATGTGGAGCAGCCAGACGGTTACTACGCACGAGTCTCAGAGGAGATTGGGCTGATCGTGCAGGGCAGCGAGAGCCAGGGGAGCAGAGCACGTGGAGGTGGGGATCCCCCACAGCCGGCCAGCGCCGACAGCGTCGGTGAGTGTTGACCTTGCAAGTGCCTCACTGCTGGCACATGTAGAAAATGTATATGCATGAGACTTGTCCCCTTGCAGAGCCTGCACAGGACCTAAACCCTGCTTCAACCCTGACCCGGGGGCTTACATGGCTATAACAGTCACCTGAAGGATTTGGGGGAGATTTTCAGCAATTGGGGAAAGAGAAATTGAAAGGCAGGAGGCTGTTCCTGCTGGCTAACAAAGCACTTGGCTGGAATGGTTTTCGGAGGGATGGAAGTGGTTAAACGTCGCTCAGGGGCTTTTTCCTGGGGACTAAACGGAGCATGTGGATGTAAGGCTTGGAGAAAGGGCTGCAGATAATGTGGGCTCTCTCTCTGCAGATGAAGCCATCAGGAGAATTGTCGCCCTGCTCCAGAGTGCAGGAGATGAGCTGGACAGGCAGGTGAGAGGAGAGCTGTGGGCAGCTGGATGGGGTCAAGGGAATTTGGACCAAGCTCTGGACTGCTGTAAAATACAGCAACACCTTCCATTTCCCTGGTGCAGGGAAATGATCAGCAAAATCAAGGAAATGGCATCTTTTAATTCCCCGATGGGGTGTGAGCGTGTCTGTCTGTCTGTTCTGCCTCAGCTGGTGCGGAGTGGAGGCATCAGTGCAAGGATGACACATCAAGTCAGTCGCTTGTAACGTGTACTCACTTGCTTCTTAACCAGGTGAAGGAAGATGCGCGGCTACGGATGTTCTTCAGAGACATGTCCTACAGCTCTTTCAAGAACTTGGCTGATGCCTACGTCAACAGGGAAATGACGGCCAGCAGACTCGACGTCAACCCCCAGGAGATCCAGTTTGCCTTCACAGTGCACCTCACCGCCAAGGTGGCCGGGATCTGCAGCCAGGCAGTGAACAGGATCATGGGCTTCGGCACCCGCTACCTGGAAGATTCCTTCGCGCCCTATGGCAAAATCCTCCAGGTAGGGAGAAGGATTGAGCTTCCAGCAGCGATTTAGGGCAAGTGGTATAATTTGGGGGTGATTGGCAGACCTGGGTGGGGCAGCAGTCGTGTTGGGGGCTGTGATCAGGCTCATATAGTTCACGGCGTTGCTGCATCCCCTCTGGCAACTGCATCTTTCCCCGGAGAGAGTTTCCTCCTGAATCCATCCAGAGGAGCAAGAGCACCAGCTCAGTTTGGCAAAGGGACCTCACAGGTGTTTTCTTCTGTCTCAGCAGAACGGCGAGAAGTTCAGCACAGACGACTGTGAGGGCCCCGACTGACGTCGGCAGGTCCAAGGGACTTGTGGTGAACCCAAGGACAGAGATTTACTGAAGCGGGGGGACAGTCCCTGTTGGTGACTTGCATGTGGGGTGATTTTTCTGAGCCATGGATTTAAAAACCTTCTAAGGAAAACCACAGTGACAGCCACAGTAGTATGAAATGCTTAAACCCCAGCTGGCTTGGGGGCAAAGAGTCTAAATCAAGTAAAGCCCAAATTTCACCATTATTTGCGTTTTACCTCTTGCCAAGTGCACTTGTGGAGCCTCACGGTTTGTTCGTATTTGTGTTTGTGTATTTATTTACCTGCTTTTCTATACTTATCTGTGAACGTACAAGATAATTTTTGTAGCTTCTGCTGTCAGCCAACTGTCAGGTTCAAGGAAAAAAACCCCCAAACTCAAATAAATTGCTCCTGAAATTGTTTGTCCAGTGGCTGATGCGTTTGGCCATTACACGTGGAATAACGTTTGCTTTGCTGGAGTTGTTGTGGGCTGCTCCTTTCGAGCCAGGTGCCAAGTGGCACAAAGGGAATCTTACAGCAGATCCACGGTGCAGTCCTGCCATTTTTGACTATTTATAGCAAAAGGAGATTTATTAGCCAAAGCAGCTTGATCTTACACCAAGAGCTGGGTAAAGCTTGTTCCCGCGTGGTGCAGGAGCTGCCCTCGCTGTCGCTGCCTCGAGGACTGAGGGGATTTACTACTGCTGGGGTCTCACCTCCGAGGTCTAAGAAGATGTGAAATGTCAAAGTGATTAAACCCTAATCTCTGGGAATGTTTCCAGCTAATCTTTGCCCAGACCCCTAAGTAGGGCCATGGATTAAGGCAACTCGGGGCCAAGGGGGGTTGCCAGCTCTCAGCGTGGTGGCATCGGCAGGAGCATCTCCCTTGCCAGGGTTGGACCCAGCCTGGGGTGCAGGGGACAAAATTGGGGGGTTTGCAGTGGGTGAGAGGTAGGATGATCCAGTAGGTTGCAGGTGATGATGGTGACAAACAAACCTGCGGGTCTGAGTCAGTGACGCGGAGGGGGTGACAGTCCCCACAGGGGACCAGTGACAGCACCTCCTCTCCTGGACGATTTGATCTTTTCAGTCCTCATAAAACAAAGTAAAAAAAATGGGGAAGCAGAGTTCTCATAAGAAGGAAGCAGCTCTTCCCCACCCAGCCTGACATCCCCCTGCTTGTGAAGCCTTTAAGGAAACATTTGATAGAGCCGCAGAGGGTTGAGTCTCCAGCTGTCAAAAAGTCCCGAGGAGGGGGACACCTTGCAGGGACTCCGTCTGACTTAGCCCAGGGTTAATCAGGACTGGGAAAAACATCAAACCCCATTGCTAGGTCCTGCCTAGCAATGCCAACAACAAGCAGTGCCAGCACCGTGTTTCCTTTTGGCTGGGAACCAAGATGGGAGGCTTCTATTGCAGGAGAAACCGAAACTGCTCGTGCCTGTTTGCAGGGGTGATGCT